ATATAATATAAAAATAAATATAATATAATATAAAAATAAATATAATATAATATAAAAATAAATATAATATAATATAAATAAATAAGATAGGCAATTATTTTTAAAAAAGCATATGATTATCTTGCAGGAAGATAAAGCTGGCGAATACCTTGATGTAATTAGCTTTAATCGTTATAATGCTTGGTACAATAACCCAGGGCGACTCGATACAATAACGAGCAGAGTGATAGGAGAGGCTGAAGCGTGGCATAGAAAATATAATAAGCCTGTACTTATGTCCGAGTATGGAGCTGATACTATACCTGGATTACACGAAGTAAGCTGTTGAACAATTATATATCATGTGGATTAAATCAGAAGCAATTGCACTTTCGTAAATTAAATATTAAAATTTTTAATGATTATTGAGATATATACTTTTATGTGCGATGTATATATATATTACCATTGATATTAACGATATCTTGTTACTTTTTCTTAGATCATTAAAACTGTATTATCTTATCTTTATTTTTTAACTTTATTTTTATTTTTTTTATTTTATTTTTTTTATTTTATTTTTTTTACTATTTTAGTTATTTTAATCTAACTCGTTAATGGAGGTTTCACAAAGACTTTTATTAAAAGAGGATTTCAAATGGAACATTCAAAAGGGTGTAGAATTTTACATCTCTGTATATATTGTTAATAGTTACGTTCCTGACAATGTTTTTATTTAATTCTTTGTATATACAGGGTTCCCAGTAACGATAGTGCAACCAGCAAGGGGGTGATTCTACGTGAAAAAACAAATCGAAAATAAAGAATAAAATTTTTTCGTTCGAAGCTTCGTTGTCGAAAAAATTGACTTTGAATATTTACTTAATAATATTTACTTTCAATATATATTAAAAAAAATATATATTTCTATTTTTTTTTTTTTACATGATTATTTTACATAAACTTATTGCACGCGTTCTATTTTTCAAATTTTTACTACGAAAATTTTAAGTATTTTTCAACTAACTATTTTTCAAAATTTTACTACAAAAAATTCCAATCTATTAAAAATTATTTTTCAGTTGCCTGAATATATATGGAGTGAAGAATATCAGACAGAATTATTATCTAAACATTTTAAAGCATTCGACCAATTAAGAAATGAGGGATTTTTTATTGGTGAATTTATTTGGAATTTCGCTGATTTTCGAACAGCTCAAAGTAAGTAAAAAATATCATATATATATATAAAAGAGAAGAACAGTTGACAATACTAATTACATTAAAAATGTTCACAGCATTCATCAGGGTAGGTGGCAACAAAAAGGGTGTATTTACAAGAGACAGACAACCAAAAATGGCGGCTTATCATGTTCGAAAGAGATATTATTTTCTTCAGAAGGAATTGGATGGAACAGAAATACCGACAGATCTCGAAAACTACATTTCGCATTACTCTTTTCATTCAAAGCTTTAATATCGTCTTTTAATATTTTGCTATTTTTGTTAATCACTTTAAAGATAATTGTTTGTTATTTGTCTATATATACATAAATGTTATACAAAAATTATTTGCTTATCTTTCCTCTTTTAATATGTAAGCTCTATTCTTATGACAATGCTGCCATCTCCAGCGACGAAGTACTATTTGATTTTTATACTGACATACATTTCCGTTTATAAGTATTTGAATACTTTATTTTATAAAAAACATAATACCTAACTTTATTAATTATTAACTAATTTGTTAATTTGTTTGTATTTACGTAAGATAACCGTAATGCAAAACATAAATCGAAATGCAAAAGTCTGTAAAAACTTTTTAAGTGTTATAGAAAAATGATGTATTACATTATGAAAGTTATGTATTATATTCTCAAACTAAATTCTGAGAAAATTTGAGATGAATTAATTTTAAAAAACTGAGGATGTTTGCCTAAAATTTTAATCTGATGCATAGAATTATATGATTTCGTGGAAAATCTAAAATTACTTAAGGTAGTGATTGCTGTTGTGAAAGATGCAGCAGATATAGATTAAAAAACATTTAATCTTTTTAAAGATAATGGTAGAAATTTGTATTGTAATACTGAATACATAGTTTATTTATAACGTAAAATCGCAAATGAATTTATAGAATATTAAATATTTTTCCAACGTTTTATCTGGTTTACAATTTTCTTTAAATGTTCTAATACTTATAAGTGAGTATGTATATCAATTATTATCAATGTACTTTTATGTTTAATAATCGTAAAAATAACATCAAATTCTTAATAAATGTTTTATAAAAAAAATAGACATAAACATTTATTCTTATAAATATTGGATGAGTTATACATGTATAATAAATTTAATTATATTAATTTAATGATTCTAATAAGTCTAATGTGATATAGATCTACATACGTTAACATGATTCATCATTAATTTGAGGTTCGACAACATTCAAACATGCATCTGCCATTTCCACAAAAATTGGTTCAGTCATAGCTAAAGCAATGGCTTTTGTTGGGTCCTTATCAGTTAAAACAGCACGCATTATATCTCGTACATGTAAATTCTGTAAGCAGTTTTTCAATTCTTTGCTGTATCGTAGTTGTTTCAGTTTTTCAATGGGAACTGTATCCTCTGTTGCAAATTTATATTTGGCACTATCCGTTGAATTTTGAACATCTTCTAAGTTTGCTTGAACTTCCAATGGTTTACACTTATTTTCTTTATGTTCTTTATAACAACCTATGGAACAACTAATACACATAAATTATTAAATAAATTGCAGTATATAAAAATTATTAAAGAAATTTTGAAATAATATTAAGAAAGTGTTTATATTCTATAAATTATAGAATTTATGTAACAATTATATACATGAAACAGTTATTCCACTTATTTAACTAATTTGTTAATTTGTTTGTATTTACGTAAGATAACCGTAATGCAAAACATAAATCGAAATGCAAAAGTCTGTAAAAACTTTTTAAGTGTTATAGAAAAATGATGTATTACATTATGAAAGTTATGTATTATATTCTCAAACTAAATTCTGAGAAAATTTGAGATGAATTAATTTTAAAAAACTGAGGATGTTTGCCTAAAATTTTAATCTGATGCATAGAATTATATGATTTCGTGGAAAATCTAAAATTACTTAAGGTAGTGATTGCTGTTGTGAAAGATGCAGCAGATATAGATTAAAAAACATTTAATCTTTTTAAAGATAATGGTAGAAATTTGTATTGTAATACTGAATACATAGTTTATTTATAACGTAAAATCGCAAATGAATTTATAGAATATTAAATATTTTTCCAACGTTTTATCTGGTTTACAATTTTCTTTAAATGTTCTAATACTTATAAGTGAGTATGTATATCAATTATTATCAATGTACTTTTATGTTTAATAATCGTAAAAATAACATCAAATTCTTAATAAATGTTTTATAAAAAAAATAGACATAAACATTTATTCTTATAAATATTGGATGAGTTATACATGTATAATAAATTTAATTATATTAATTTAATGATTCTAATAAGTCTAATGTGATATAGATCTACATACGTTAACATGATTCATCATTAATTTGAGGTTCGACAACATTCAAACATGCATCTGCCATTTCCACAAAAATTGGTTCAGTCATAGCTAAAGCAATGGCTTTTGTTGGGTCCTTATCAGTTAAAACAGCACGCATTATATCTCGTACATGTAAATTCTGTAAGCAGTTTTTCAATTCTTTGCTGTATCGTAGTTGTTTCAGTTTTTCAATGGGAACTGTATCCTCTGTTGCAAATTTATATTTGGCACTATCCGTTGAATTTTGAACATCTTCTAAGTTTGCTTGAACTTCCAATGGTTTACACTTATTTTCTTTATGTTCTTTATAACAACCTATGGAACAACTAATACACATAAATTATTAAATAAATTGCAGTATATAAAAATTATTAAAGAAATTTTGAAATAATATTAAGAAAGTGTTTATATTCTATAAATTATAGAATTTATGTAACAATTATATACATGAAACAGTTATTCCACTTAAAGTGATATTTTACTATTTCTTTATTATCATAGCGTCAATAAAATTTTCATATATAATATATAATACAATATATCAAAAAATACATTTCATTTAATACAGATAATGTTATCTAAATGTATACTTTATTATTAAATAATTATTGAATTATAATTTTATTATAACAATATTTAGAAAAAGTATTTAAAAATTGAAATGTCATACATAGAAAACTTTGTTTGCAAAAAAAATATTTAAAGTTTTCATATAATATAACCTAAATTGTACAAACAATATAACTTTTGAGTAATCAAATTGTGACTTTTATCTTATTAATGTCACAAATAAAGATTATAATATTGTAAGAATAAAATTATTTGAATATTAAAGTTCTTTTATTCCTCTCTTCGCATGATTCTTTTACCTTATCTCTCTATTACAAATTAAATTTCATTAAAATTCATTCTTAATGTATTCTTAAATTATCATGTTTACATTGTATGTTACTATATTTATGACCATACATAAATTCCTACATATTAAACTATATCGATATTACTAATAAATATATTTATCAAACTTTTTAATTAGAAATAAATCATGTTATTATCTTAAGCTTTTTCAGTACAAGTTTGTGTTTGAAACTTTGATATTAATATTTGTTTTTTGAAAAATATTTCTATACATATATTCCTCTATTAATTTATTCTCTTTGAAATTGAAGTTACAACAAAAAGAATAAAAATAACAGATAAATAAATAAAGTAAAATTATAACTACAGATCGATAAAATACATATTTATACACTCAAAAATTAAAATTGTAATATATAATGTTATAAATATAAATAAACAATAACATCTAATTGTATATGGTAGAATGTGAATTAATAGATTGAATGAATAAATTACAATGTACAAAATTTTTTAATTTTGTTTAAATATAGCAAACGTAATATAAAAGTTACAGTAAATTCAATAACAATACTATAATATGTTGGTTGCATTCACATATTAAAAGCTGTCTAAAATCATTAACATAACCTCTAAGATACTTACTACGGTTCTCTACATATAGGACATTTATATAAACACTCTGGTTTTCCGCATACGTTACAAATTTTTGCCATTTTAACTTAACGTTCCCAATAATTGTCTTTTTCAAATTACTTTCTAATTACACATTGTATAGAATGTTTATGATTGCTACGTTTGATCACATGTCTATCGCGGAATGCGAGTCATGAACGAAAAAAGTCTATTATTTTTCACAGGAAAGATTGCAAAATAGTAATATAAAAATCGTGTAGGTTAAAATTATAATCGTCGATTGGTAAATCAAAATTATAATCATTAATTGATCAAAGTTATTAAATTTCAGTTCTCATGCTCATTCAAGCTAACTTTCAAAGATTTCTTGAAATATGAAATTTTATATCTACTTTCTCTTATTAAAAATTTCTTTAGATCAATTTGAACTGGCGTCAGTTTTAGATACGATATTATCTATCATAAAATAGAACATATAATTAAAATTTATGAAAAAATATATTTATTTGCTATGATATATTACATTATTACAAATTTAGCTATAATTACAAAGAAAAAATGTAATCTTTAACAACACGTGATTCAATTTTTGCAAATATTTATACAATGCTGACTTTCAATCACAAATTATAGTGCTATAATTAAATATGTAGATGTATAAATAAAACATATATTTATACACTTTATAGATTTATATATAAATTTTGAAACGTGTACAAATTTACATTTCGTTATATATAATATTTTTACTTTTATTATCTACTTAATTTTTGTTTCGATAAATGTAATAAATATATATACCAATATAGCAAATTTAAACAAATATACATATATATGTATGTATGCATATATTAAAAAAATTTATACATTATAATTTTATATAAATTTATATTAGACAAAAAAAAAAGAAATGCAATGAAATGTTATTATCAATATTCAAAGAATTAATTCCTTTTCTAAGTTATGCATATTTATCGTCGTTTTCTTGTCTGGTATTCGAAATCTTGTCGAAGTTAGCATTCTCGCCATGATTCGCAACTATTTTCACGGAGAAACGTCAAGGCGGAATTCGAACGTGTTATTAATATTTACTGCGTCGTTATAATTGAACAATTTGCTTAGCATCTAAATAGTCTAATTTGTATCATATATCATGTACTATTTCCTTAAACAAAATATTGAACAGTATTAATTTCAAGCGTATGGAACACATAAATTAACATGGAAATATCCTTAAAATCTGTAAACTAATTTGCAATGCTAGATAAATTAGCGATTAATCTACAGATTTCGCATAGCATATAATTACTGCAATGTTTAGATAAAATATAGTGATAATAATGATAATGTGACTTATAGCATGAGTTTCATTTCCTTATTTTAACAGGTTCTTATCTTTAGAAATATCTTACTATGTTTTCGGAACATAGATATTTATTCTACGATAATTGAAAACAGCAACAATAAATTTTATACATACCTTTTATTAGCAATAGTTATGAGAACATAAGTCCACCATTAACTATTAATGTTATCTAATAATATCAGTTGCAATAATTCTTTATTAAAACATTTGATATACTAGAGTATTTTTATTGTATATTTTCTTTCATTTTAATTAAAATATATAATTAATAATTAATGGCTGATTTAAATGTGAAATGACTGTAATATAAAGAAATGATTAAAAAATGTTATAAAAAAATGTAAAATAGTATAAGGTAGTTACTTTAAAAAATGACTTAAAAAATTATTAAAAATATTACATTTTGTGTATTTATTAGATTTGTTATATCATTGTGCGGACTTTCATAGTTGGTTTAAAAATTAAGTTATAGTTCTACAAAAACCACTTTTTTCTTGGATTATTGTTAAAAACAGGTGTTTCGGTGTTGCAGAAAATCAAATAGGAAATTTTATATTATTTTATTAGAGTGATTATTGCACTCGGCATTTACAAATTTAGTTTGGAAAAGTACAATGCAGTAACGGTATTTAAGAACGTTTTCAAATTTCAATTGCAAATAAGTAAATAAATAAAATATTCGAGTAAACAGAAAGCATCAGAAGTTATCGACTTTATATTTATCGTTTACAGCTTATATTCTAAGCTATAATTAATTTTATTAATTTTATTCCACTTAATTTATTTAATGTTTAATAATATTTTTGTAATTATAAAAAACTCGTATCAACTTATCATAGATAAATCATCATCTACTTATTGTTAAATGCGTACAATTTATTTCCAGAATCATGAAATAATCATTCTCTTAAATTTACTATTTCATAAACTACCACATTTTAATTCACCACTTTAGTTTAATCACTAGACTGTTTCTATTAACATGTAAAAAAGTTTAATTAGAACACGCTGTTATTACTTTATCCTAACCTAAACCTAACCTAATTTCGAAATCAGGTGATGAATGAATTTTTCCATATTCGTATCCACAGTTCAGAAAAAGAATCTAATAATTATTCTTTTTCAAAAATGATTTAATTCCAACCAACGTAAAAAAGTTCGATTCGAATATTTGATTCGTACAATTGCCGAATACTTCTTCAAAGTGTTATTAGAACAGTGTTTCGTCTGGATCTCCACTTTCGTACTGCCCCATGCTTATTTCGAATAAAAGGCCCTAGTTGCGAGCGTGAAATTTTCGATTCCGCTCCATAGCACAACAAATGCGAATGGACTTTCTTCCTCGCAAACGATCGCATGTCCTGGCGTTACTCGTGCCAAGGTCATTGATTCCTCCAGTAAGTAGTTCCGGCTTAGTTTCTGGGCCAGGTTAACCGACCTAGCAGTGCTACCAACGTCGACCGGAATACCATCACCAACCGTGACGTTGACACATCTTGATACGACTGCTCCGGCAGCCGGATAGCCGGACAACCGAACACAATCGGACCGATAACGAGTCCCGTATACGATTCTACTTTTGGATCTGTTCACAATTCTTCGCTTACTTTAGTATTCTTTTTTTAGTTTTATATTCATTTCTGTAGGAAATTAAAATACGTTGGCTTAAGCCTCTGATTGTCTCACTTTAGGATGTTTTTAGGATCTTTTATTATTTTTTCTTTATCTCTTGAAAGAATTTTTTGTGTCTTGAAAGAATTTTTAGAGAATCTTTAGAAGAAAATTGGTTTATTGATAGAATTTAGTAGTTTCGTCAGATTTTTTGTTTTTGTTTTAAGTTGAATATTTTAGATAGTTTCGTGTTGGAGAATGTGAGAGTAGAGAGTAAGAGATTGGTTATTAATATTTATATTTATGATATAGAGAATAACATTAAATTTGATATACAACGTATGTATTTCTTATGCAATAATTTTTGAAGTTAAAATATTAAAAATAAAAATCTGATTTATTAAAGAGATCGTTTATATATATGTATATACCATATAATACATCATACTATAATTTGTAATATTATTATCGTGTTATCTATAAACCGTACTCGAATAACAAAGCATACTCGAGGTATTTTTCAGACATATCCGCATTCATTATTATAATAATTTCATATAATTAATTATTTCATATAATTTAGTTTACATAATTTATTATAATAACGTAACAATAATTCTTATTAAATTAATTAATAAATTTATAATTTGAACCTATTTTATTTTAATTTGATATCGTGATGAACAATATTTTCTTAATAATTATCGTGATACGTAATTTTCGCATAATAGTATATAATTTCATTTTAATTTAAGTTTCATTATTAATAGGCATAGTATGTAACTAAAACACATTTTTATCATAGAAATTATCTGGGTTATAATGTAAGTAATAGTTTTAAGTAATATTTACTTTACTTTTAAGTAATATTTAAAATTGCATAAAGTGATAGAGATATACATATGAGCATTTTTTAATAAATGAATACATTACTTGACAAAAAGATACGATATATACAATCTTCATTTAAGTTAAAAAATGGACATGCATTCGTGGTATTATTTCAAATATTATTTGCGTTATTGTGCGTTAGAAATATTTATAGTCGCCGATTAAAATTTTGTTAATTTAGGAAAAAAGTTATTCAAATTACATGGAAAAAAATTAAAGAAAATCTATTCGAAATAATCAGGGTATGCTAAATATTACTTGCAGTATTACAAATGGGAAATTAATTTATGTATGTCATCAAAAATCAATTAATATTCGTAAGTTATTTTGTATTATGACATTAATAACGTTTACATGCGACATTTAGCGTTTAAATATTGTTAAATATGACAGAAAATTTTTGCAATCAAAGACTGAATCGAATGAAAAATCACAAGTACGCAACAAAGTGTACATAAAAATTAAAAAAAAAAAATAAATAAGAAAAAGTATCGTTTTACGAAGTCTTGTAGAATTTACAGTTAATAGTATACGAAGTGTAAATTATGCACCTTTCAAATATAAATAATTTATATATTATAGTGACTTTATAATTTTAACGTTAAAGTTTGATTTGCGATATTACTTTATTACTGTAAAAGCCAGATTTTTATATATCTTAAGTATATTTATTACTATAAAAAGCAATATTAAAGATAAAGTAATTTTGTCATATATTTCTAAAACCATTAGTATTTTATTACTTTTTACAAAAATGTATTTTCCCAAGAATGTAATATTAATTAAAATAATTTTTTGAATATTTCAGTGTTTACATGTACATTCAACAGAAATGATATAAAAATAGAAAACGTTACACGTCATTTTAAAAATAGAACTTTTATCAAAAGTCCACCGTATCTAATTATGTAAGTTATAAGAAAAAGGAGTGAAAAATAAAATTGTCAAATTCCATTCATAAATAGTACAAACGTAGTACATATAGTGCAAATGACGAGAAAATTTTTCTTTTTTAAAGTTACATATGCTTTATAATGTTATATAAAATCGTAATTATAATTTAGAATGAATTATTCGTGAGTTATTCGATGAGTTTCTTATCAATTTGTAATCATATTTTGAAACAAGTGTTCGCTATTAAAAAACAAGTTCTTTTAATTACCTATTAATTTTATTTTCGATATTGCAATAGAATTAAATTATTTTGTTAGTAACAGTTATTAGTTAGATATCCGTCGATCATTTATTCAACATATTAATTAAACTGAAATATTGTCCCAATAAATTATGAGCGATTTAAAATCAGATGTACCGTTACGTTCACGTTACGTCACATGTGAATCATATTTCTTTATAGTATATTTTGTTCGTGGGAATAATTCTATCGATGATGTTATTGAATATTAAAAATAACATTAACAAGAACATCTATGATCAAACACAACTTATTAGCCAATTATGTTTAATATTACACAATGCTAATTACAAGCGCAAATTAATCGTATGCTTACGTATGTTCACATATAAAAAACTATTTTTAAATATAAATTGAAGATTATATCGATGAAATTTTTATTTAAAAAGTTAATTTATTTCTTTACTTGCAACTTCGAACATGAAAAAGAAAAAAAGTGTAAAATTTTAAATAAAATAGCACATTCCTATTATAAATAATATAGATAAAAATAAATATTCTCTTTGATGTACAATAATATAAAATTTGTCAAGATAAATATTTTAATATCGCACAATTTGAGAAGATAATTAAAAATATTTCAAGTTTAATAAATATTCGTTATTAGTTAAATGTTAGTTTCACAAATAATTTTATATACATATATAATTCACTCTAACTCTGATCACACTTTATCATACAAAAATTATGCAAAAATTTGTTAGATAAATTCTACAATTTCAATTACATCGACCCAGTATTTTTTAAAAAATATACGCAGCGTACATGTATCACGACAATATTGCACAAGTTCCTATTTTAAGATCCCAAATTACATACTACTCTTGTCACTTAATCCTAGCTTTACTGTTACGACTATCTCGTAGTCCCAATCCCATCTAAACTTGCCATTAGATTTTCAACAGCTAGCGATAATTTACGATAATTTATTATTGTCATATCGTAAAACGCAGGAATCATAATCTTGTCTTGTCACGATGTGGAAGGTGCCGCGTCGCTGATGCCGTTTGAGTTATTCGAGTGACGTCAGATGCAACATAAAGTTAGATGACGAGCCACGACGATGATCGCGTACGATGACGTTGGCAGGGCGCTGAAAGGTAAAGCAAGGTAAGTCAAGGTACAGCAAGACGAGACAAGGTAAAACAAGGTCGAGTAAGGCAATGCAAGGCATAACAAGGTAAGGCATAACAAGGTAAAGCAAGGCATAGCAAGACAAGGCAAAGCATAGCAAGACAAGGCAAAGCATAGCAAAGACAAGACAAGACAAGACAAGACAAGGCAAGGCAAGGCAAGGCAAGGCAAGGCAAGGCAACGGTGAACTCAAGAGGAGGAAGGAATAGCAGGAATCTTGTTTCGTTGGCTTCTGGTTGGCCAGTTCTTTCCAGCACTTCGCAACGTCAACTTCGCGGCCAGCGTGCCAGTCGTGCCAGAGATGGAGACACTATATCCGCTCGCGACTTCCTCTTCGCAAATCGTCCAAAGGGAATGACAGTGACCTACTTGCCGGTTTCAGGTGCGCGACACGCCGACGTCACTCGAAATTGCTATTCTATCCAGTTGCCAGTTATTTACGCTTGTGCTCGTATCTTCGTTTCACGTGATCGAGCCAGCCTGACCGTTGTCCACTGGTTCGTGTGTAATTTGTTATTTCTGAAAGTTAGAATGGACAAAGGAAGAGAACGAAATTTTAGCCACATCGGTAATCGGACACCGCGCGCGCTCACGTGGATGTAAACGGCGTGCTTGTGCTAACAAGATAAGTATGTTCAATGATTTTCGTACGCTTCGAGATTAATTTTAACCTTCGAGTTACTTCACCAATACACCGATTTCTGCGATACATTATAAAGATAAAGCTACTTACATTTTCAACCATACGAATTATCTGTAACACGTTGCTGTATATTCGAAACGTATGCACGAACGTCCATACCAATTTACTCGACTTATTATCGTGACGCGCCAGATTTAGCAAGAACACTTGTTTCAATAAAGTGTACGTCAGTCGGTAATTCTAATTTTTACGCTGACGTTATTTAGAACCACCTCGTGCACGTTTGTTTTCCCGTGTGAACGACGCTGCCTCTATCTATCGGACGAATAGCACGAATCATTGGCATTTCGATCGGTTACGATGAACAGAAATATTCATGTAGGGCTACAACGCAATCGAAATTCGTGCTAGTTACTTTTGTCGACACGTTCTACTTCTGCTCTTCCACATCCTTTCCGTATCCGGGCTATGAAAGTCGATTATCCGCTCTACCTTGCTTCTAATCTATGACATTTTGCGGTAAACGTGCAAATCTCTTACAGCAGAGCAGAGTTCATTCTTGCTCGTGAATTCATTAATACGTCGATTCGAATAAGGTTAGGAAAGATTGCCGAGAAAAATGTTAATGCGTTAGGCTAAGTAATGTACCACATAACCTGTTTATTTGCAATTAGAGAAATTAATACTTGAAAAACGCTAATAAATATTTTTTATCAACGTTTTGAGTCGAATACGTTTCGCGTCAGTTTCGTAACTAGTGGTGGAAAGAATTTGACGAGTGTTAGATTCGACCTTGAAATTGGCTAAAATCGAAATATTTACATCGCAAATCTACAAACATATCAGTTTCTTATTTCCAGCGTAAAGAGGTGTATTTTACCTGAAACGGAACAAACAGCAAAAAATCGTTAAATTTCATTCAATAAATACGATATAAATCGATAACTATTGTCGATAAATTATTTTATTCGTTAAATATAAAATATGATAAATAAATATATAAATAGAAATAGGAATATAATAATAAATATAAAACTTAATGTTTCAAATTTTGGTAACTGTAGTGTTAAAATAAAAAAGACCAGTTGTAACGAAATTCAATTACTCGGTACATTTTATTGAATAGAAACGCAGTAGAAATGTTTGCTAATTATTAGTTGACAATTCGAAAATAAAAAAATGATTTAAAAAGATAATGATATTGAGAAATACTTATAATCCTATTACGTTGTAGTAAGAAACAGGGTACTTATGAGAGCTAACTTCCTTGAAGGTTAATGTTCAGACGTTTTTCTGAAGTGGTGAATATTCATTCATTCTTCTTTTATAACTGTAAATAAATGTAGGATAACATACGAGTGTGTGTGTATATATTTTAAATGAATTTGAGGTATTATTAATTTTTCAAATTTCTTTCTTGCGCAATAAACAATTTAATATAATGGCAATTTATTTTTATTGCAATGCTACTATTTGATTTATATAAACCAAAAAAAGAAATGAAAAAAAAAATGACAAAAATAATTCGCGTAAATTACGTGCATAATTACGTGCATATTATTTGAATGTAGAAAAGGATCATTAATTTTAATTAAATGAAAATTAAAAATTTGTTAAGGAAATTAAATTTCATTTCAGGATTAATCAAAAGTAATAAAATTGCTATTTAAACAACGAGAATATATTATACATTTATTGTCGTGTCGTAGCATTACGCACATGCATAACGATCGCTAGTAAAATTTTCACCACGTTCCTACACTAAATTTATTCAACGAAGGTTATGTTATGAATATTATCAAACTATTATTATTATATTATGAAAATAAACAAGTATCTTGTTCGAGACATTTTTCAAAACGTTGTCATAAAGTTTAAATATACGTTAGTATACATTTATATCATTAAAAAAATACGAATTGACATCTTCCATACCGATGCATGAACTTTGAATACGTTACCCTGATTTTCTCGCAAGAAATATGTACGTCTCGGATGGTCACGTGATACTCAATGAACATGGAATACGCCTTTTAAAAATATTCATACACTCCTTCTTATATCGTTTCTACCACTATTTGTCTGGAGTTGAAAAGAAACACGAGAGGATCGAATCGAAATGAGGACAAACAACTGCGTTAGCAGTTGAATAACTTTGGAATGCAGCCACGGTCGGTATGCGGAGCATTCTCTCATCCTGTTGCCGTAGAATTGAGTGCGATCCTGGAACGCGGAAACTCGAAGCAACCGCTCCTAGGAAAAGTTCCGAGAACGATCTGCTCGACAAAGCAAAAAGATTGAACAATCGAGGCCCCCTCGTATCTATTTTCATCGTCCTTTCTTTCTTCGAACTATCTAAGACAATTTTATGTCTCAAAAGAAACATTCGTGTTACCTTCTGATACGAAACCTCATTTCCAACCAAATACCGAGCAATTTACGTTCCAGTTTCTCATTTCTTACGCATGGTGTTCGAACGTACAGTATGCGTATACATCGTATGTCGGTAAAGTAGATTACGTGAAACGTATGGGAGGTCAAAGTCTGACTTTGGTTTCGTTTACCTTTTTTATTCTCACCGTTATCGTGATTTACATCACTTATGAGGTTCTTTTATCGTTTTGTCTGCGATTCTTCGAAACATAAATCGAAAAGTATGTGGTATCGAATATGCATTGTGTATACGTACTTCGAGCAACGAGAATCGAGTCAAAGGAAATATCGACAGAGTTCAAGTATCGATTAAAATCGTACGAAATGTCTTAACCTTGATTTCTTTTCTACTAACCATATTACAGTACATCATTGAGATAGGTTTAAGCCCTAGTTTAATGTTAACCGTCTCGGATATTTCTTCTTCGAAAAGTACCGTTTTGTGTGTACTATATATTTAACTGACAGTGTTTACATACACATGTTTGTAGAAACTATTTAGTCATAAGTAAGAAATGTGTAAGGGTAAAGAATGAAAGAAAAGTGCAGATGCCGAATGGTAACAAAAAGCATAAAGGTTACATTATAGTGCAAGAATTGTCCGAGGATTTGTCCAAAAATTTCTTTTTTATTAACTATTATTACCGATTTTTTAATTATAGACAATAGTGAAAATGTTTTTTAATCGTTTTCATATATGTTAAAATTAATATTTATATTTATTAGAACGTAATTGCAAATTTCATTCGATAAGATAAACATTTTTTATTTTTTCTTCAGAGGAATAAATTTTTATTCATTTTTTCCCCCAAAATATACAATATTAATAATTTTCCATAACCTTTTAAAAATTTTCTTTAATAAACGAAACAACTTTTACATATAAAATAATATTTCTTAATAAAAACACTCGACAAGTTTTATTAATTTAATTAACTTTTTCATCGTTATATTTCAATAATATTGGATATCTAAGACAATTTTATGTCTCAAAAGAAACATTCGTGTTACCTTCTGATACGAAACCTCATTTCCAACCAAATACCGAGCAATTTACGTTCCAGTTTCTCATTTCTTACGCATGGTGTTCGAACGTACAGTATGCGTATACATCGTATGTCGGTAAAGTAGATTACGTGAAACGTATGGGAGGTCAAAGTCTGACTTTGGTTTCGTTTACCTTTTTTATTCTCACCGTTATCGTGATTTACATCACTTATGAGGTTCTTTTATCGTTTTGTCTGCGATTCTTCGAAACATAAATCGAAAAGTATGTGGTATCGAATATGCATTGTGTATACGTACTTCGAGCAACGAGAATCGAGTCAAAGGAAATATCGACAGAGTTCAAGTATCGATTAAAATCGTACGAAATGTCTTAACCTTGATTTCTTTTCTACTAACCATATTACAGTACATCATTGAGATAGGTTTAAGCCCTAGTTTAATGTTAACCGTCTCGGATATTTCTTCTTCGAAAAGTACCGTTTTGTGTGTACTATATATTTAACTGACAGTGTTTACATACACATGTTTGTAGAAACTATTTAGTCATAAGTAAGAAATGTGTAAGGGTAAAGAATGAAAGAAAAGTGCAGATGCCGAATGGTAACAAAAAGCATAAAGGTTACATTATAGTGCAAGAATTGTCCGAGGATTTGTCCAAAAATTTCTTTTTTATTAACTATTATTACCGATTTTTTAATTATAGACAATAGTGAAAATGTTTTTTAATCGTTTTCATATATGTTAAAATTAATATTTATATTTATTAGAACGTAATTGCAAATTTCATTCGATAAGATAAACATTTTTTATTTTTTCTTCAGAGGAATAAATTTTTATTCATTTTTTCCCCCAAAATATACAATATTAATAATTTTCCATAACCTTTTAAAAATTTTCTTTAATAAACGAAACAACTTTTACATATAAAATAATATTTCTTAATAAAAACACTCGACAAGTTTTATTAATTTAATTAACTTTTTCATCGTTATATTTCAATAATATTGGAAAAAGTCTTAAGTTGAACGTATATATACAATTGGGACTCTTTTTACACAATGTACCGTGCAAAAAAAAATCTATAAAAATAAAAAGTCAAGAAACAATTGTTATTTATATAATTGTTAATTATAACGAAGCATAAAACTCGTGTTAAACTAAAACAAACAATAAAAGAAGCAATTTAAAATACAAAACCGCATTTGATAACAATATTTTTGAATGTTTATCGGTGTTCTGGGTTTGAAGGTAAAAATAAACAAATTGTATTCAAGGAATTGTGCAAATATGAATAAAACATGTTTAAAAAATCGCGTGACTAAACGAAATGTGTTAAAAAACGTACAAAAGTGAGTAAAACGTGTAAAAGTGAGTAAACCGTGTTGAAAAGAAACCGTATACGTGAATCGTACAAAAAGAGTACCGTGTAAAAAGAGTGTCTGGTAGACATAATCTAAATTCTAAAAATGAATATAATATCGTATATATAATAATGTATATGTATATATATGCATTATGCAATATACATTTACATATACATAATTCAAACTTTAAAAATAGATATGTCATATATTTAATATTAAAATATATATAT